GTCCTTCGAATTTCTAATAAATCCTCTATGGAACCGGGATCATAAACTTACGTCAATGATACTAAGGTACACGCGGGTATGACTTTTTGCCTTATTGCTAAGAAGCAAAGGGCTGCCTACATTTTAAAATTAATTTTTGCAATTTTGTGATATCTTTTTCTTGTCTACAAAATGCAGAAATAGACTTGATTGGCAGTGTTTTTACCAAACCGACAACTATGTTGGGTAAAAAATTCAAAAGAAGGATCCACGGCATGCTATCATTGATCTGCTCTATCAAATACACACTTTACGATTATAGGAAAATTGTCAGGCAAAAAGCTGCCACGTGAGTTGTCAGCTTATATTTTCAAACTAAGTCAGGCCACATTCTGAAAAATTCAAAGAAAGTTAGGAACGCGGGACGACAGTTTTAGTCGTCAGGCACTAAATTTTATCATTATATGCCCCGTAGAACTATCCACAAGGAATATTCCTCAATGTTATCTCTACGTATATATAGAAAAAAGGATTTATAAATTCATCCTTCATTGGCAAAACTACATAAAAGTCTGTTTTTTGTATGGTGTCATCTTAACATAAGCCTCCGAGGACCGAGCAGGTGGTCATATGTAGAAAAAAACTTTCCCGCAAGGTTTGACCACCGTCGATGTTCGTAGGTTTTGTTGAAGATCAAATAAGCAAAAATGCCATTTTTACAGTTTTTTTAAACGTCTTAGAAACTCAATTTATACATACATTACGGTCTCTGTTGCCATAATTAAGGACAATCGTCCATCCCGGTGTAAAAGGCTGCGCCTTAGAATCCTGCCTAAAGTTTCTCTTACAGTCAGAAGATTTCTATACGGGGAGACTGATAGCCATATATGTCTGTCCAGCTAACGTAACACTTCCACAAATTCGATTCAAGTAATCCAAAATGAGGTGGAATTGTACCGCACATATCGCATCGTCTCTTCCATCGGTAAGGTCTTCCGGTAGTAAGAAATATCAACAACCTTTGGTGGTACTATCGCGCGTCGAGGAGCTCCGAGTTAAACAACCCGTCAAATTATGCTGCACACGACCCAGTCGCGCTAAATTTGTGGGTTTGAATAGGGGTTCAAGACCTATAAAAACTAGTTGATAAAAAGTACCTAAAACAGGAAAATGATATACGAAAGCATTATTACGGTTTTTTGTTAAAAAGCAGCTTTTTAGAAGTCCGTCGGAGGTTTTCAGACATTCTTCTACTCTATTAAGCCTTATTATGTCACAGATCAAAATCTAATGCTTGTATGTGCGTTGTACTATAAAAGACCATAAATAACAGCGCCCAAAAAATTGCAAATAAATCCTTCTGGAACTGGGAAACCGAATCTTACGCCGCTGGTAATTGGATATGACTGGTCGCCTTCTTCCCAGGAGGCAAAGGGCTAAAAAAGTTTAAAATTATTTTTTTTGAAACTTTGTGACCTTTTTGTGTCCAGAAATGCAGTGCTTAATCTGATTGACAGTATTTTGTTTTACCACGCGCGAGAAGTAAGCGGCGTAAACAAATACATAACGATAACCCTCGGTTTTCATAGGTGTCCCGAAGTGCGATTACGATTCCTATCAAACACGAACTTTGAGCGCATATGGAAGCTGTCAGGCGAAGCGCTGACGCGTAAGTCGTTAACTTACATACTTTTTTAAATATAAGCCAAGTCATACTCTGGAAAATTAGAAGAAAGGAAGATGAACCACAACGTTACCCAGGAAGGCAGGACGATGATTTTATTTATCAGACCCTAAAAAAGCATTATTTGACCCAATTGTGAAAATTCGTGACGTCAGTGGGAATCGAACCCACACAGCAGAGAAGGCTTTTGCGCAGTCGATGCCCTACTTTTGTGTTACGGGACTCGCCGTGAGTGGTGAATTTAATCACGCTTGGGTCGATGTGCTTGCCCAGCTTTACTGTACGTAAGGAAACCGTCAATATGTATGCAGGAAGCTGACTGTCCAGGCAGGATTTCCTAAGCAATCATCTTGAATCCACCAGAATGGCTTCTATGCTAACCTAATTATTAGGGGAGGGGGGTTGGCAGATTTTGATAATTCAGTTGAACTAATTGCGAAAAACCCGCAGCCTCGGTCGGAGTTGGACTTACAACTATTAAGAAGGATTACTTGTCAACGTTACTCGTGCGCATAATTAGAAAAAGGGTGAAAGGATTCATCCTCCATAAGCAAGAGTATACCAAAAAGTCCGTTTTAAGGAGGAAAATGATGAGAGAGAGCCCTTTTTGTTCAGGAATCTATAAATGATAGCTATTCATACTGTTACAGTATTCATCTTACTTGTGTGATGTCTTGTCTTAAAATAAATTCTCCATGAACTGTACAGGTAGCCATATGTAGAGAAAACTTTCTCGTCCACAGTAGCGTTCAATAACTGCCGATGCCTGAGATTTCGGCTGACGATAGCAGTCGGGATAAAGTCACTAAAGACGTCTTTATTTTTTTAGAAAAACTTCTTCGAAATACACATTACCGCACTCGCGGCCATATCTCCGACAGCGTAAAATAATTTAGGACAATCGCTCATACCAGCACGAAAAGCCGTACCTAAAAGGCCCTCTCTAAATTTATACTTCAGTCAATTGTTGTTTTCAAAAGCAAGCTAAAATCATACGGGTAGCCTAGTAGTCTATCGAACTAGTGAACACGGGCTAGTCATAACAGTTTTCCCAAATTCTTCTGACCAAACAAGTTTGCTTTAACATGGCAAGGAGGAATTATTTTTATGCTAAAGTGCAGAGAAATTCCGGTGTCAGCCTGTGATTGCCGCATAAAAACAGGTTCACTAGAGAGGGATGGAGTCCTGCGCTTGTCTTAAAGGAAGACAAGCCCAGAGTTTTGGTTACCACAGCCGCTTCCGTTTCCTGGTCTTTGTGTATAAGTAGATGCAGCCAACAAGGGTGTACCAGTGTAACTAAGGGAACGACTTGACTAGACTTAAACTTCAAAGCCTATTCAACACCCGTCTTACAAGTCTAAATTTAGAGCGAAATATAGTGCTCCAAATCATAGAGGCAAGTAAAAGGTATTCTGCAAAGTACACGAGGAGAATAGAAAATGGTCATATGCTGTCTGTGCTAGGTTGTATTCCACCATAACTTGCCAGTGATCAGAAGAATTATAAATCCGAGGGTTCAAGAACCTGGCTGGGGGAACTCAGCCGAACCCACTTTGTTTAAAGGACATACTTCGCGCTCCAACGAATGAATATGTCAGTGGTGTCTGTTAAGTAGAATATTAATTAACCCGGTGTAAAACAATACTGGAGAATTTATCAGAAATCGAAGAGGGGCAGAAATAATACAGTAGACGCCACGGATCACGCAACATTTCGACATAGGCGAAAGATTGATACTCTTTCGCTAATCGGTATTGATTCAGTTCGTGATACTGATTATCTTGTAGTCTGCTCTGAAGTTTATTCCATCATGATAGGATGCGGGCTTTTTAATGAGCTTCATTCTGACTACCAGCAAAAAGTATCTATTGTAAAAACTGGCTACTTAAGTAGTCTTCGTGCCGACTCCTAGCAAAACGTATATATTGTAAAAACTGACTACTTAAGTAGTATCTTTTATCATTGATTTTGACTGCCTTTACAAATTCAAATATGTTTTATGGAAAACATGCACGAAAAAATTATTTCTTGTAC